AAGTACTCTCAACAGAGGATCTCAAATAAGACCTCCAGTTACAGTGCATTAATGAAAGTCCTGGCTTCTTTCAGAAAAGAAGATTTTAACAAAATGGATTAAACTGCACGAAGGTGGTGGTAATTACACATTAACAATAATGAAATTCTACAGATAGGTTGTAACCGTTGAATATAGGATATCCTTCAAGATATTTATACTGAATATAATTAATATTGATATTTTACATAATATTACCACATAATAGGGTCATAAGCATAAGGAGCCATATTCTTTAGTTCAACTCTAACTCTCGGACAACATTAAAGAACAACAATTATCTCATTCAAGCCAACCTGCTTCTCTCTCCTTGCTGCCAACAATTGCTTGTGAAAAAATCAAAGCAAATTGTCTTTTAAGCAGTGTCCAAACTACTGTGTGGGCAAATACTGTTCCATTGAGCCAAATGCTTTGTATCGTTGTCTCTGAGCCAAAAAGACACGTTAACACTGAAAAAGTGGTCACAGTCCCCCTTCCAGTTAAACTTCAACTTCTTGGGAATCATGGCAACATCTAAACCACAGTTTAGGGTGATTTTTTCCCAAAATCCAAATACTCCAAAAATCATTCTGCTTCTACTTTTACTTTCTCATTGTTAAGAACGGTTGAAGCTGATGAATGTGCCCAATTATAGATCCACTATATGAAAGATAGATATGAAAGATTGTGTTGAGAGTCCAAAGTTTGGTTTAGTAGCAATTAAATCTGTATAATAAAAGCAGAGGTGCAGACAACAAAACCCCTTTTTTTTTCTCTCTATAAAGTTGAAAATCAACTTGTTACATTGTATTATGAGTGAAGGCATTAAAATGTCATTCCAACATGCTGAGTCACCTTATGTTACCAGAAAGAACATATACACAACACAGACAGGAAGAAGAAACAAACCTATTCCTATTTTAGCTGTAAGAAACCATCCTAGAAAATGGTGTGACAGGAACTGACCTTCTTTCAAAAGGGAAAAAAAAAATCCACTACCTTTTCAAGGATAAAAGGTCTCATTTCTTCTATAATATTTGTGTTTTTCAAAATACTATCAGCAGGTGCACCAGATTTCAAAAACCTCTTGTCCTTCATCACATATAATTGTGCTGCATATTATATTAAGAAATACAAGCAACGTAAGTGATGGGAGTTCAATTAAAACCAGCATAATATCTTGTTGCATAGAAAATGATTCTGCAACTGAAATCAGGTTCTAATGAGAGAAAAAAAGGAATACATTTTCACATATTTTTAATTACATAGAACTTCCTCAAACATGATTTTTAATAATATATTCCATTAGGTTAACATCATATTTAAAGAAAGTGCATTTTCTGATTTCATTTTAAGTCTGATTTTGAGCAATTATTGTGTCATTGTTCTGCAGTAGAAAGGTTGAATTCATTTACTGTGTGGTTATGCTGGTTATGATTGATGCCACTTCTCCAAATGATAAACCAATCACCCCGATGATGTAATGTCATTTTAAGAGTGCTATAATCACATTTCTCTCAAACTGGGAGCTCTGATGAGTTCTAACAAAGATTTATTGTAGATTAAAGGCCTTCCTAACATCAACAATAGATTGCTCATTTGATAGGAGATTTGATTAGGTAATTTTTTTAGGCAAACGATTTTTCCATATATATTAAGAATGGTTATTGTGAAGGGCATAGGGCAGTACACGTGGATGAGCATCACCTCAGAACCAAAAAGATTCATCTTAAACCTGCTGAGGAGCTAACCTGTAATTGTAGAGGTTGAGGCAAGTGTAAGTATACAATCAGACAAACAAGAGGACACTTCTACAAAGCAATTAGTACAAGACTTCAGCAAATATTTCATCTTCAGCATGTACTTTAAAGACTCTCATAGAAATGTTTAAAGAAGAACCTAGAAAACGCTGGCAAATATTTATCAATGATTCAAAGATTATCTGGGATCTAAGCCTTAAATCTAAGTATCTATAAATCTTCTTTTTTAACCCAACCCCAAATCCAAACAAAATATTTACATTTATTTACTATCTGCCAGATGTCTGCATCTATGTTGCTAAGTTTCCATAGGAACTAATATAGATATTGAAAAAAAAAATTAAAAAAGGAAAAAAAACAAACCTACAACCAGAGCATGATATATCTTTCCCTATCGTGTAGATGGTAAAAGCTGCTCTGAAAATCTTTCAAGGATAATGATGAGACTCAAAAAATGGTAAGATTTATTGTAAATATCATTAGCTGTGGTATTCCTTATAAACTCTGTAAAGGAAACATTGTGAGAGCTACAGAAAAACAAACAAACAAAAAAAACAAAAGCAAAAAACAAAAAAACCCCCAAACCAAACACTAGAAAATGCCTATTAGTTACCAGAGGATGCATTAAGTCCAGAAGAGCTCATGCTATTGGACACACAGTGCTGATCAAATACTGATGCATGTGTCTATGGTCTGAAATTTAAAAAAAAAAAAAAACTAAACCAGACACCTGTTTCTTATACCCTGAAAATTAAAAGTCATTATATATTATACGACTGTTTATTAAAGATGGGCTATGTGGGGGGGAAACTGCTAAAATATAGAATGAACAAATCAAAGCTTAGAGCATGCCAAAAAGGCTCCTTGGGTCAGCCCACAGAAACAATTGTCAAACACAAAGCTTTTAAGGATATAAAGAAACAGTGATTATTATTTAAAATGAAACATAAAGAGCTCTTCCATCAAATTTTCAGGTGTTGTTTTACTGCAATTTCCCTCATTTGGCTTCCTAAGAAAAGCCCTGCTGGTTCCCTCAGTCCCAGAAGGGGCTGCAAATACCAAGTACCAACTGCTCAAGTATCCTCCAAGTCTCTTTTTTAGTTCATATTCCCTGACCTTGATTTGCTTCTACTTCTTTCATCCCTCTCCCATTTAGTTTTCCCATTCCCCTTAAAACCCTCATAAAATGTTTGATCCACCACATCCTTTAGGCAATGTTCCTTCTTTTGTTCTTTATTCCCTTCTTCAGCTGTTCCCAGCTCTGAGAGGAAGCAAACACACCCCAAATTCCTCACTGCAGACAGGTAATGGTCCATTACCAACCTGTGAACCAGAGCTGCTTTTTCCATGAATATCACATTACATTTCTCTGCCCTAATTTCCTCTGTCATTTTATAGCCCTGTTACTTGGTCTCACAGGTGCTTTTGTGGTTCCTCACAGGCTGATCTCATTCTTACCACCCTGCCATCCCTTTCTTACCCCACAGCTCACCATCTTCTCCAAGTAATTTTATGTCCCATGAAAATTCATTGGGGAGCTCCAACCTCTGCTTACTGCCTTTCAAATAACCACTTACCACTTACCTCCCCTCTTACCCTTATGTTACTTGAGTTTCCTTAAAAATGTTTAGTGACAGATTTTTCTGAGACTTTTGAAAACACAAAGACCCTTCAATCACCCGGATCCCCCTTACTGGGATGACCCCTGCAAAGGACTCTTGAATGTTCTCAGGCATGAAACTGCACTGATGCAGAGATAAATCATACCCACTTCTCCACTCCCCACTTCCATAATTTTTACTGAGTTGCCCATCACAGATTTTGAGGTCTTCAGGTCCCCAGATCCCCCTGAACCTCTTAAAAACCCCTCAAAATGGGCATCATTTTTACCATGCTCATAATTCAAGCATTATTAAAAGAAGCACGCTCAATCTCTGAATCATTATTTCTTTGTGCAATTATATTTTAACATATCTCAACGAGGTTAAGGGATAATTCAGGATGGAAGGAACTCCCCGGAGGTCCCTAGTCCAGTCTCCTACCAAGCAAGGGCAGCTCTGAGGTCAGAGCAAGCTCAGGATTTTAGCCAACCTGTTCTTGAAAACCTCCAAGGACAGAGACTGTACAGGCTCCCTGGGCCACCTGTTCTAATCCAATGCTTAGGGAAAAAGTTTTACCTTATATCCCCTCTGAATCTGATCTTTCCACTGCTCACTGTCTCATCCTCCCATCACACACCCCTGTTACAAGGCTGTGCTGGGAGCACCCACAAAAGCCAACAGTTCCACACCACAAGTATCCCCAGCACTGTTCAGAGGTGTATTGTTACAGGAAAGAGACCCCTTAGGCAGAACAGAAACTGCATCTAAGATATAAACTTAGTTAAATAGACAGGAACTGCACAACACATATCTACGTTAAAAAAAAAAAAAAGAAAAAGGAAATATAAGGTGCCATAATAGCCTTCCTTTGTTTTGCCTTTATTTCTAAAAAGGGATTGCATCTTCGTTCCTCAATTTTTGGCTGTCAAAATGAAAAGTCAGCACCCGCTAATAAAAATAAAAATTGAAAATAAAAATTAAAAGAAGAAAAAAAAGTACAGAAAGAAAACTAAGGAAAACCCTAAGCACTACAGATTCCATGACTGATAGAGCTGCAAATGTTTTGAAACAGTGTCCTGAAAGACAAGGATTCATTTGCTGAAAAATAGCAGATCTTAGTTAGATGTGACATTGTAAGCACAGAACCAGACAGATTTGGAAACACGAACAGACATAGACTGGCAGAAGCAACATGCATTTTTAGATACAGAACCTCATCACCAAATGAGATATTAGATTAGTCCATGCAGAAAAAAGAACCATTGTGTGTACATCTCTCTCCCACAAGATATATCAAGGAGCATGAAACCGACTTTGAAAAATAAATCCCTCTGACGTCAGGAATTCAATAACATTTGTACACTGCTTATAAGATACCTAAAACTAAAAATCTCCTTACAGTAAAACGAAGGGAAACCATACATGATGTATTGTGTTTCCAGAAAAGTTTCCATGAAATAAACCAGTAAGATTTTGTTGCCCCATTTCCACAGATGCTCTCGATTTTGTGCTGATGCAAGAACACATTTGCAAATTTAAAGTAAAAAAAAAAAAAAAAAAAGGCATAAAACTGGCACAAAACATGTCACAAACAAACTCCATATGTTTGCAATTTTCTTACCACTGCTGGAAGCCTGCTGTGGGCCCGAACATGCTCTCAGCAGATATGAGTTAGGAGAGAACTCCTCGTCAGGATTGGTGTCCATGATTTGATGGGACGTGTTGCTGTCTAGCAATGGCATCTGGCAGCTAACTGGTGGAGGATTATGAGAACTGGGCAGCTGAGCAGATGGGAGAAGGCTGGACGAGGATGTAGGTGGAATGGGACGACCTGGGAAAGAGGACAGAGGGATCAAAGATCAGCAATGAATGTAATGAAAAAAACCACAACAGCCAAGTAATTGCACTGTAACTGCCCGCTGTTACATCCCAGCACTGCTGTGCAGAGCCCCTCAGTCTCTCCACTGGTACCAGCTTGTCCCTTTGTATCACATTCAAGGCACTGTAAGCAGATATGTTGTGAACTCATTCCAAAAATTCCCCCTGCAGCACCGGCTTGTAGCTCCTCAGGTGAACAGATGCTGGTTAATGCCACTGCCCACCCCTGGACAGAAGGGTCCTGTCCTGCTCCACGTGGGCACTGCCACACTCGGCCACCAGACACTGAAAAGCCTCCTCACTGCACTCTCATGTCCTGCAAAATTCAAGTGCAGCAGCTACATATTTTACCAGAAAAAATTTCACAGAAATAGGGACTTTTTTGAGAAGGGGAACTGTAATTCCTCAAATTACATCACATCTGTAAATCTATTACAATAATGGTGGTGGGCTGATTTTATTTTTTTTTTTTCAACTAGGAAAATTGCTCCAGCACAGGAATCTCTCAGAGGCATGCAACAAGAACTGCAGAAAGGCAAAGGTTTTTCCTGTGATGTTGCAGATCTTCCCAAAACCCACTGGCAGATGTGACAGGAGCAGCAGGACTGAAAGGCAATTATTCCACTTTAGAGATGGGCTAAGCTGGAATCTGGCTTGGCAACTCGAAGCTTTGCTGTTCTTTCACTCCTGTTGCTTTCCTGCCCCCTACAGAGGGGCAGAATTTCCTGCCCAGCTCACCAGCCAGGTTAATTCCAACCCTGCAGCCCAATCCTTGGTGGGTACAATATACCTCAGCCCACTGTAACAACATGGTTTTTTTGGTCAACTAAACTAATGGCATCAGGTCAACAACAACAGCAATGTTCATATTTATGTATTCTTGACTTTTGTGAACTTCCCATAACTTCACACCAATCCATTCCATCAAATGCACACAGGTGAAGACTGGTTTGGGGTTTTTTTTGCATTGCCTGTTAGAGTATGACCAGTTATAGGGATGAGAGGAAGAAGAGAAACATGCATTCTGATCTCTGCAAGTTTATCTAGTGTGTTGAAAAAACAGGTAATGAATAATTTATACATAATAAAATACAACCTCTGTGATACTACCAAAGTCTGTAAGGCAGAGATCTGCTACAAATGTTAAAATGCAGCAAAACTACATAAAATAGTGGGTCCTTACTTCCATCATTCTTAAAGAAACAGCAGCAAACACACACTGCCTTTCTCACTAGTTATATCTTCATTTTTTGAATCAAGAACCCCTCACTTTATAGGAATTACACTAAGGTTTATGCAATTAGGTAAACTTCTAGAGTCACACATAAAATTCAAAAGGAGGGGGGGAAACGAGAAGAAGAGTGTGAAAAATTCCAGCCATCACATATAAATAATATTTGGGGTGCAGCAACCAACCAAATGCACCTATAGATACTGAAACCCACTGACTTTGCACTGCATGCTGCCAGCAAATAGCACAAACTACCTTCTTCCCTTCAAAAGCTTTAATATAAAATAAATACCTGGCGATAGGTAAGTGACTATTATGATTATTTGTTATTATATTTTTTAGCACTGGATACATGGATAAGACTGAATGACCAAGTTATGATATGACAGAAATGGATTTAAGCTACTCTATACTAACTCCCAGCTACCATCTTTTTTGCCAGAGAAAATTCAACGTGCACTGAATATTTTCATTGTGGGCTTGCATTTGTGAGGCAATAATTCTAATACTGATGATAAGAATAACTATTGTTATTATTCATGATTATGCTATTCTTATGAAATATTACAGGGAATATCCTAAACATTCAAGGGAAGTGATTGAGCAGAACCACAGCTTCTAATTATTTCTTTGCACTGTGCTGGAAAGAAGCAGAGAGGCTGAGGTTTGACACACCTCTGACAGGAATGTGACACTTGTGCCCACTGTGTGCATTTAATTTTCACATATTCTGGCTCTGCTTCAACACTGTGAAGCTGAAAGAAGCAGCTTTATAAATTCTAAATCTGCATTTACTGTATGTATCACATGGAAATATGTTACTGTATTATGAAACTGTTGGACATGTGAGGGTATAAGATGAAGGAAAAGATTTTCTCCTTCTGTGTAAACTGCATATAGTATTTTAGAACAATTTAGGTACATTTTTGCAGAGCGCATTGAGAAATGAAAAAAACCCTCAAGAATTCTTTTGTCAGGAAAGCTAATTGCATAGTTAGCATCGTGAAAAAATACAGCCCAAATCCCTGAAGAAAAGCTAAAATGTCTAATTGCTACAGTTCTGTTTGTAGTTAGAGAAAACAGAAGGGGTGAAGTTGTTAAAACGTTGCATTATTTTGGTGGGAAGTTGGTTCCTGAGGAAGATCTGTCCACGAGAACAAGTTAACTGAAAAACATAGATGTCTGTGAGCCACAGAACCTATTGCCAATCTGTCCTGTGGTTAGATTTCCTAATAAGCTGCCAAATTTGATTAAAACCTTTCTTGTGGTCGGGGCATTCCTGATCTTTCTATCAAGTTGATTTTTGGCATCTACTGAACATTAGACTCCCACTACAGCCATTCCCTCTACTGTTGTGGGGCTCCAGTATAAAGCATCTTCTCTCTCCACCCTCAGCCCCTGAAACAATCAGCATATCTTACAATATTTACCCAATCCTTTGTAAAATTTGGTGGGATTTGAGTTGAAAAATTACTGAAGAGGAACAGGAAGACACTATTAAGCTTTGTTGCCTTAGGAAATGAATGTAAAGGGTGACTATCTGCAGTACCACAGCTGAGAGAATGGTTGTGAAACCACCAAAGAGAAGTGTGGGTTATCAGTTAGGCTCTAAAGAGCATGCTACATGCAGTTTATTTGTTACTATATAGTCTTAAGTGAGAAATAATGAGAAAAATTCATACTAATACAAATATCTTGGTGAAATAAGTTCAACCAACCATTTAAAAGAACAGACTAAGCTTTACAGGTTTTATAAACCTGAGCTCCTTGTCAGACCCATTCAGGTATCAACAGAGCCCTCAGCAGCTGGATTGTGAAACCCCCCATCTCTTGAAATGGTTCTTAGTTTCCATCATTTCACAATGGGATTTGCAATACCCTACAGTGTATGAGACACTCTGCAATGTCTGGTAACATCACTATTCTGTTACACTGCTGTTTTCAACATCTAAATCACAAAGTCAATAGAAGTTCCTACAATTGGTGTCTAGTCTTCATATATTAATATGTTAAAGCTTCTATGAATAATTTTTTTATCTGGTTGTGCATTGACAGAAATCCTATGTAATGGATACTTCCAGTGACAGCAATAATGTAATTGTGTAACATACTCAAAGAAAGATAGAACAGATACAAATGCTAGAAAGGGAAGTCAGACATAAAGCTGATGTATTACATTTTCAATAGGAAAATGTATTAGTTCTTCTTCCAATATCTGTTCATATGCATGTTCATACTGCATATATTCATGCATGAAAAAGACTTGTAAGATACTGAATGCAGCATCTGTAAGGTATTTTTCAAAAAGAGCAAGCATCCAAGAAGGAAAAAAAAAAAATTCTCCTCCTCCCCTCTTCCTCCCCTTCCTTTCTCCTGTCATTTATCTCATTTAACTATTTAGAGTACTATTTGGTAACTTTCCTTCATTCAAATTTGGGCTGGCTTTGGGCTTCCGTGCCACATGGCACCTCATTCTGCAAGGGCCTTATTTATCCTCTTATCACTTAAATTCCCTTTTCTTTTAAAATCAATTTCTCATTTCTTCATCAGCTCAGGAACCTTTATGAAACTGTTCCTCAGTTACTGCTACACTTGAGGTCCCTGAGGCTTAAAATCTGCTGTAGAACCTACATTTAGAAACCAGGCCACGCTCAGAGCTGGTAATGGTGCCACAGCTCTGCAACCATGTTCAGGAAGACATCCTCAAAAGCTGAGGATGCAGATCAGACACTGATGGGAGGAATTCCTTTAATCTCCTTGTTAAGGACAACTTCACAGCCAGGCAGAGGCTGAACAAGGCAGAGCTCACCCGTGTGCCATGTGCAGTCATGGTACAAGGCAGCAATGGCATGACAGGGGAGACTGTTTCAAGCCTAGAGATTTGTAAGAGAGCTAAGATTCTGTTCATCTTAATCACAAAAACAAATTTGGAAAAGAGATACTTCAGTTGCTATTGGCCTGAAAGACCAAAACCATCGCCAGAAGGAAAAAAATAAAAAGGAAAAAAGAATGCCTGCAATCACTCCTGGCATGAATATACATAAATAAGAGACATGATCAAAGAGGAGATGCAAGATGCTTATCAGTTACTGAAGGATATTTGAAATACACTTTCCATACTCCCTGTTCTTCCTGCTTCTGTAAAGGACTTATGGAGTTTTGTGGATAAATAAAGTCCACATGTGTGTGAAACCCTGGCCTCTATAATACACCACGGGGCATGACAGGAAGCAGGGAACCTAAAAAACCCCTTGGAACTCAAGAATTTTGAGCAGTCACCATGAAAACATTCATTCCAAAATCTGTGTGTATATATTTATATTCATTTTTACATATGCAATTACAATTACCCACACACATCTAGACAGACATAAATAATATCCAAAAAAGTACATTATTTTAACAGGTCTAACGGGTTAATCCAGACTCCTTAAATAGCCGTTTTGCCATTAATTTGGTTGGGCAGCAGATGAAAACTTGTGTGTTTCCATCCCACATTCTGAAGTTATCCTTTTCAGCAACTCCTGCCACTAGAAAATAACTGAATCCCAGGGGTGGTAAATACAGATCTCAAAGCCTATTGTATCTGCAAAGGGTATCCTCAAACTTTTCCCATCAGGAGAATCTCTCTTCTAAGGTCAGACATGTGTAGAAAACATCTGTGTAGACTGTTCAACCCCATGCATTTTCAGCATGTCACACTGAGAATTTCACAGACCTAA